GAGAACTTCCAGGAGGTGCAGTCTCACAAAGACAAAGACTGCTGGATGAAGGCCATGCAGGATGAAATGAACTCCCTACACAAGAACAATACTTATGAGCTTGTGGAACTTCCCAAAGGAAGAAAAACCCTGAAAAACAAGTGGGTATTCAAGCTCAAGAAAGATGGTGACAAGATAGTCAGATATAAGGCTCGATTGGTGGTAAAGGGCTTCAGTCAGAAAAAGGGGATTGATTTTGATGAAATATTTTCCCTAGTGGTAAAGATGAGCTTGATTTGCGTTGTGCTTGGTCTAGCAGCAAGCATGAATCTTGAGCTTGAGCAGTTGGATGTGAAAACTGCATTTCTCCATGGTGACTTGCATGAGGAAATTTATATGGATCAACCAGAAGGTTTTGAAGATAAAGGGAAGGAACATATGGTTTGCAAGTTGAAGAAGAGCTTGTGTGGACTAAAGCAAGCTCCAAGACAATGGTACAAGAAGTTTGATTCTTTTATGATGGGTCATGGTTATAAAAGAACAAATGCAGATCCATGTGTCTACATCAGATTATTCCCTGATGGCAACTTCACTATCTTTTGTTATATGTTGATGATATGCTAATTTTGGGACAAGATGTTGAGAAAATTTGCAAGTTAAAAGAGGAGTTATCAAAGTCCTTTGGCATGAAGGACTTGGGACCAGCAAAGCAAATTATGGGTATGGCTATTACCCGTGATAGAAAGGCTGGGAAGCTGTGGTTATCACAGGAAAAGTATGTTGAACGGTTGCTTGAAAGGTTCAACATGAAACATGCTAAGCCAGTTAGCACTCCTCTTGCAAATCACTTCAAGCTAAGTAAACGATCTTGTCCAACTACCAAAGAAGAAAAGGAGAAAATGTCACCTATTCCTTATTATTCTGCAGTCGGTTCACTGATGTATGCAATGGTATGTACACGGCCAGACATTGCCCATGCTGTTGGTGTTGTGAGTAGATTCTTGTCTGATCCAGGCAAGATTCACTGGGAAGCTGCTAAGTGGATCTTCAGATATCTGAGATGAACTACCAAGTTGTGTTTGACATTTGGGCAAACTAAACCAATTCTAAAGGGATACACAGATGCAGACATGGCAGGTAACCTTGATAATAGAAAATCTATATGGTATTTATTCACTTTTGCAGGGGGAGCTGTATCATGGCAATCAAAATTACAGAAGTGTGTTGCCTTGTCAACAACCGAAGCTGAATACATTGCAGCTATAGAAGCTGGTAAAGAGATGCTTTGGATGAAGAGATTCCTACAAGAATTGGGATTGAAGCAGAAAGAGTATGTAGTATTTTGTGATAGCCAGAGTGCTATAGATTTGAGCAAGAATACTATGTACCATGCCCGAACAAAGCATATAGATCTGAGATATCACTGGTTGCACTTGGTGACAGAGAACAAGCAGTTTCAACTCAAAAAGATTCACACAAACAACAATGTTGTTGATATGATGACAAAAGTTCTTCCCAGGGAAAAGTTTGAATATTGCACGAAGTTGGCCGGGATGGACTCCAAGTAAGGAGTCAAGGTTTAAGTCTCCTCCCAT